ATGCTGTGGTTCCGTTGTTCCATCACCCCCGTTTCATACCGGACCACTTACAGCTCCGGTGTTAACGGTACAAAATGAAAGCTCTCTATCATGGTATCACCATTGAGGGATTTCTTTATTTAAATGGGTTCATTTTTCAGAGGGATACACAGTGAGGTGATTTTAGCTACCAGTAGCAGGAGAACGGAGCTGCGCTAAGAAGCTAACAGAAGCTAACAAACACTGAATAGAAGAAGAGCTGCCATCGATACAGTTGCAGCCAAGCATGATTTAATGTTACACAATGCAGTTTTACCAAGTTGCTCAAAGTCTAAACTGGTATTTTTGTGCATTTAAGGTGTAAAGGGTACCTTCGACCAAACGCCCCCCAAAGGAATCCCAGCGCCCCCCTTTTGTAAAAATGTCCGCCAGCGCCCCCTGCCGTCCTCTGAACGCTCCCTGGGGGGCGTTATCCCCCACGTTGAGAACCGCTACCTTAGACTCTCCCCTTTTGTCATGTTGTCCTGTGGGAGAGGTGTGTGCTGTTTATTTTTCATCTAAATACATTCAGTTTATTTATAGATCTATTAAGTTAATTTTTGTTATGTACTTTTGTGTAGGACTTGGAGCGGGCAGCCTATAAAACGGTTGTTTTGTCTTTGTTATTCTCGTCAGAAATAAACCGAGGATCATCTTTTTAAAAGATAAACTGTGTCACGGTCCGTTCACTTGATAACCAGCACAACGCAGAAAAAGATCTGGTTACACACACATGGCTGCACAGTGAATCCATTGATTTTTTTTTTTTTTTTTACAGCTGACAGCCGCTCCTCTCTCTTGCAGGTACTGTGTACCCCCACTAAATATTTTAGGGGTACGCAGTACCCGACTGTACCCCCTTACTTTCACCCCTGCTTGTAGCTTCCATCACTTCCATGTTGCAGCGAGTTTGAAATGTTGTGCCTATTTTTCCCCCTTCTCTCTTTGCTGCTACGTCTGACCATGTCCATGGCCAATCAGTGAACAGGAGCGAAAGCAGGGCTGGCTCGGCTGGCCCTGCTCCGAAGCAGGACCCTATATAGCAGGGCCAGCTTTGAAAAAAAGCTGGTGGAAACGCTCGTGATGCGAGCTGAGTAGAGCTGAACAGGTGGAAAAGGGGCTAATGGGTGTTGGCCAGCCTTAATAGGTTTTTGGTTATGTGTGACTCTTGCCTGTCTTATATGTTATGGCCATGTAAGTATGCAGCAGATAAAAGAGATAGTGGAAAGACACATAATTATTATATTCATTACAATACCTTTACTGGACTGATGTTAAGGCATCCAAATGACAACATTCAACTCAATCCACTGAGGGCAAAAAGAAGAAGTGGAATATTGTCCCAAGGATAAAACATCCAAACACAGGCTCAGTGGTGTGGTTCAGTATACACAGTCCGATATAGCCAGTCTAAGCTCTAAATTATAGAAATTGAACAGCAGCTAAACAATATGATATCCCGACACTGAGAAGTAAACTCAGTGGTTAATCTACGTCTCAAGCAGAAGGAAGGCAGCTGGTCTGAGATGAGTGAAAAGGCTGAACAGGAAAAACCAACAAGAAGCAGAGAAGACGGCCTCAGGTAGCTTCTCTCTAACACCTGCTCTGCAGCCTTGACTCGTCTCCCTTCATGGTTTTACAATTGTTCACACTTAATGATGTGACTGCTGACCTGACCACATCTGTTGAGTCTGATACCTCTAATCACAATTGATAAAGCTGTTTGTTTTTTTGACAAGTGAAATAAGACAAAATCATTTTGTTGTATATTTGTGCTAATAAATTCATGTTTACCCATCTTTGCATAAAACAAAATAGAAATTGTGTGTAAAATTATCTATCCAAACTGTGTTTGGGGTGAAATTTTCATAGAACTATACAACCATCTGTATGAGCAGTAAGTTCAAATGTAGCAATAATAGTATCTGGTAATGAGAGCAACCAAGTGGCAGGGCAGAACTCTCCCTGTTCTCCCACAGCCCACCCTGCTCATCCTCCCACTCAGTCCTCTTTCGTTCTTGCTTGTTCTTCTCTTCCCTCCTCAGCTCGTCATCCTCCTTTACTTTGTTTAAACTGTCACATCTGTGTCCTTCATGGCCTTCATAGCAGTGGCAGCGAAATCTGTTGGTGAGCTGCTGCAGGTCATTCTGTGATGGCCACCCACTGACAGTAAAGGTCCCGTTCCCTAAGGGGTGAATTTGGTAATTCTCAGAGCTCAGATGGAGGTAGTGGTGGGCAAGGGGGTCTTGGCGGACACACCGGCCGTTCCCTTGGCAGAGGAATTCACTGCAGACTTCAGCAGCACGGGTTACATTGGTGATATACCGACCAAGGCGACGAGTCAAGAAGGACTTCACCAAAGTGCAGTTATGCTGTAGAGACAAGCCAGTAGTCATATTGTGACATTTTGTTAAACATTCCTACAAATATATTTAGTTTACATCAGTTATAATTCTTGTAGCATAATGTTTCAGATCATAGTACATGTAACATCTTTCACACTGCAACTGTCTGATGAAACACCAAAACTGTTTAAACATCATAATATAGCATTTGCTGAAGATTTGAGTTATTTTATGTGGGGGAAAGTTGTCCTGGAATCTTTTTTCTAAAAATGGCTTTGTTATCCCGTCATTCTTCTGAAAATTTTTGCATATGAATTGAGGTTTAAAAACAATGATTTAGTTTTTTCAAAGTACTCGGCGTGATGGTGTTAGAGAAAGTTCAAAGCCACTTAGAATGTCAGGAATAAAATCAAAAAGCAAGATGATATAGGAAACCGCCTTCAGCCTCCCCTTGAGGCCAGGAGCTATGTGGACAGCTGATATCCTACTTTAATAAAATGTACACCTTCATGTCAAAGCACTTCACTATATGAAACAGGAAATTAGTGTTGAAAGTACACCTACCCTGGATGAGGTCAAGTTAAGGTCTCCCCAGATGATGAACCCTGCAGCTCCCAGAGCAGCACTCTCCCCAATAGTATGAATCAAGTCTTTCTGCAGAAAATACAGAAAACAAAAATAGGTACAGCTATCATTCATTTGTTGTCCATCATGATAAAACTAAGAATTGAGCTTTTGTCATTTAACGTTTTCCTCTTGAATGATAAAAATTGGATTCATATATGTTTTTTATAATTACTATTTGCCTCTGAAAAGAGTTTCTGACAACAGAAGACCCTTTTCTTGGATGTGCTTTTCTGTGGATGTCCAGCAGATGGCAGAAGTGAATTTAATTTTCAAAGTTTTCATCTTCAGTTTCAGTGAACAAAAACTTTGAAAACATAAAGTTTTGAATGTTTTGCGGACTATGAAAATAGGTAGCCAAGACGACTGCATTGCTTTGATACTATGGATTCTAGCACCAGATAGCAGCTAACTGCGTTGTTGCATGGCTTGTCATCTCCTGTGCAAATGTCTGAAGAAAGATGGGCAGTCCAAACACCCAGCCATGACTTGACCTTACATCAGAGAGTCCAGTAAATGGTAAAAGGAATTTGATTGTTGTGGTGAAGGGAATGCTGCAAGTCAATGACTCAATGCAATTTGTTGGGTTTCCTTACATTGAAAATTTCCTTCCATTTGGAACAATAAACTGAACCTGATTGCATTTCTGACAACTAGCATCAAATTGAAATGTATGTATCTAACTTTGAATCTGTCTTTTTTTTTATTTCCTTCATTTAACCAGGTAAAACCCCATTGAGGTCTAGATCTCATTTTCAAGATGGATCTGGGCAGAAATCTGCAGCACACAACAGCCTGATTACACCAAAAGTCTTTATGACTGGATAGAATTGGTCTATTCTCCTTTAAAAAATGTGTTGAGACATTGGCTGTTAATTGGTGCTATTTGAATAAACTGAACTGAATTTGTCCTTGTCACTTAAATAGACATTGCTGAGTAACTCCTCTGTCCTGAGTCTAAAGAGGCAAAGTGACTTTCCCTAAGTGCAAGTATATATATATATATATATATATATATATGCACACACACACACACACACACACGACTCTGGAAAAAAGTTAAGAGATCTCTTTAAATTGTTCCATGGACTCTGACTTACTGTGGTAAGAAAAGCCAGTGCATCATCTCGGTAGCCTAGTCTCAGGTAGACGTAGGTGGGAAGGTCATACTCCCTTGAGGTAAGTGAGGCAATCCGGAGAGACTCTTGGATTCTGTTGTGGGCAAAGTGCCAGTTACTGATGCTGTTGGAGTGACTCTTTCTGATTGCCACAGAGGGAAACAACGCTGTACTGCTGTTCCACAGCCACAACAGCTCATTGTTCCTCATCATCTCCGGCAGGGGACACAGGCCCGTGTAGTTCTGGTCGTGCAAGTTGTAGTTGTGACAGTCTGGGTAGAGGTAGAAACCCCAGAGGGCATTGGGCCTTAGCCGTGTTCCCAACTGTATTGTCCTTTGCATGAACGTTTTAGCACTTTTCTCAAATCGCCTCTGAGCCAGCACCTCCACCTGAGCTGCAGTCACATTAACATACGCCTTCTTGGTCAGCTCCTTCGACTTTTGCCTGTAAATGTTCTTTTTGTGCCAGTTACGGTCCCACTGAGGTCGCCAGAACTCCCAGTCAATGACAGCCAGGCCACGGAAATCCTCTGAAGGAATGAAGTGAACAATGTGCTGATAAGCTTTGAGCAGATGCATGTCCAGGCTGCAGTTTTGAGGCAGACCTCCATGAATGGCTTTGCCTTGTGACGTGTAGTAGGGGTAGTGGCCAAGCCGGTTTGCATAAAAAATTGTTACGTTTTGCCCTGTCCAAGTAGCACGTGGGCTTCCTTGTATGTGAAAAAGATGCTCAAGGTTGGTTGTAATATTGTACTTGATGGTACACATATCTAACGGAGCGTTCCAGGCAGCAATAAAGGGCTTCCGACGAATCAAGGGAAGCTTAGCAGGTTTTTGACCAAAGGCAGAATTGAAGAACAGTAACAGCCAAGAGCAGGTGATAGATATGGGTACTACTAGGTGGGAGGAGGATGTCCCGCCCACTGCCACCACATACATTCTTGGGATCAAACGTGTCACCTGTCAATCATCCTGAAGGAGAAGGAAGAAAGTTGAGAAATATGGGGAGTTAAAACAGGGTTTTGAAACTACTTGTAGAACACTTGACACTAGATATTTACTTACGCTGCATAAAGGTAAGAGTCAGGGTTAGGTTATGAATAAACAAATGAATGTATAAATGAATATAAGTCAATATTCCTGCTGTTTGACATTAAATCAGACCACATGTTTTCTGCTTTAGGTCAATTACCAAAATTATTCCAGTTTATTACATTTCAGAATAATAAGAGAGAGTCAAAAATTCCCATCTATTTCCTCAGTATTTGGTAGAATTTGTCAGGAATTTGGAGTATTTCTGTAGCTGATTTCTCCGTTTTTTTTAGCCTTAGGTTTCCAGTTGGACTGCTATCAGCAGGACCATATGAAGAACTAGCTGCTAGTTATTGAGTGTTTTACCTCAGTGGTAACACTTCCTTAAGGAAGTGTGCTCTCCTTAATGTCTATAGTACAATAACAATGTGCTATTGATCTGTTCAGTAGACTTGCTTGTAGTCTTTTATTTATTTGCTTTTGTGACAAAAAAAATAAAGGTTTCATTAAATATATACAAAAGTACAATTTCCTGCTTTTGTAACAGAAGAAATACATAAAATTTAGCAAGTGTTAGGCTTATCCAATAGGGATTAATGAATGCAAGGATTTGAAGTACAAAACATTCCTATTTGCCAAGTTAAGCTAATATATGGGGCTGCAGATGATAATAAATTCAGGACCGTTTGGGAGCTGGAAGAGCTGATTGTTCTTTGGGAGCCAAGCCACAAGTTTCTCTGAAAACTATTACCCTAAGTTCACTAAATGAATATGAGTATGTTGTACTGTAATAACACCCAAAACTTAATTTTTTAACCACTTATATAAAAAGGAAACTATTTTATTGAAACAATTCCTGCTTTCTGTTTGTTTCTCTGCTCAGACTTTTGACAGAAAATTTAGAAAGCAGTGATAGTTTGCTCACTTCTTTCGGTAAGACAAACTAAATTATTTGCCAAACTTCTCCCTAACTCAGAGCAGGTTGTCATGAAAATGAACATACAATTCACTCACAGTGCAGTTTCAAGTGTGCAAATGTACATGGAAAAATCTATCTAATAAGATACTGCTCTGAAAGCAAACGCTCATTCTTTAATAAGTGACTGCATAGATGAAGTGTTGGAGTTTATCTTTACACCTTAAACATCCTCAAAGTATTTTTTGTGACAAATAAAAAAAAGTGCTTTAATTAGTTGCTACATTGCAGGATACCTTGTTGGCCAAACTTTCTAAAGTCCTTCCACTGGCTCCTTGTACTCCTCTAATTAACACCTCTTTTTCATGAACATACTTATTGTATTGTTTCTATTTTTTCACAATAATTACAACATCCTTTACCTTGTTTATTAATTATATTAAGCGTACTATTTAATCCTGTAGGTCCAAATCTTGTTCTGGATATAATATCTTCTTTTTCTAATTCTGTTACATTTTCTTAATTTCCCAACTTTTTTTTGTGGATACTATAATAAAAAATAGCATTGCCTCCTCTGTCCCATTGCTCTTGCCATTTCTTCTTAATATGCATTTTTTTGTAATATTCTTAGCTCATGTTTAATTATTTTATTATTTAAATCAACAATATTTTCTCTCTCACTTCTTCAATCTATTCTAAAGCCATTAAAATTGCAATTAATTCACTTGTATATACTGTCAATTCTTTTATTTCTCGTAATATTTAAATCTGGGATTACAAAAGATATACCTACTTTATCATTTAACATTTTAGAAGTATCTGTATAAATCTGTAGATACTCCGAATATTCTCTTTCTATATAACTTTCCACCTCCTTATTTTCTAATTGTCTCCCTTTTTCAGCAAGTTTGAATCAACTTCAGCCTGTCCAAAGATCCATGATGGAATATCAGGAATAACAACCACAGGTCTACCTTGAAATGTATCTATTCCTACATATTTTACTTTATTCATAATTATCAACCCAAAACTACTAATTTATTTCTTTTCTTTTTCTTGACAAGGTTGCAGAGTAACATGTGGAGGATGAGCTTCATTATGTCCTTTAATATTTGCCCAGTAAATTATGGCTAGTTGTTCTCCCCTGAGCTCCAGCAGCATCTCACCCATCTCAGCCTGTAGAGCTGAAACTGGAGTTGTTTTCATCGCTCCACAACAAAGTCTTAATGCCTGATATTGTCTTCTGTCTATTTTTAAATAAACTACTTGAAGCTGAGTTGTATAAAATACACCCATAATCAAAAATTGATCTAATCAGTCCAATATAAATTGTCTTTAAAACTTTCCTATCTACACCCCATTTTCTTCCTCTCAAATATCTCATTATATTTAAAATATTTTTACTTTTTTCTACTATTTTATCTACATGTATCTTCTATGTAAGTTTTTTTTTTTTTTTATCAAATCAGATACCCATGTTTACCGTAATCGGACCTGTCCTTTCTATAACATCCCCATACAATTTGAGATTCACATTAAGATTTGATTTCCTATTTGTAAAAACAGCAAATTTAGATTTGGATGTTGAGAATCTAAATCCCCAATCTAAAGCCCGAGTTTCTACATTATGTAATGTCTCTTGCAATTTCTGATTTACAAATTCAAATTTTGTCCCCCTCTTCCAAATAATACCATCATACACAAATAATGAAACACCAAAAGATTTATCTATATTACTAAAAATATCATTAATCATTTTAATAAATAACATAGGACTAATTATACTACATTTGGGAGTGCCATTTTCTACTTGATATTTTGAACTTGTTTCCCTACCTATTTTTACTCTAATACTTCTTTCAGTTAAACATTTTTTTTTATCCATTTATATGTTTTACCCCTTATACTCTTTTGTTTAATTTGATCAACAGCCCTTCTTTCCACAACATGTCATAAGCCTTTTCCACATCCAAGAAGACTTATATTAATCTGGGCCCGTCTAACGCAGGATCTATTGTACTTCTGCCTTTTCTACATCCAAATTGATAAGACGGTAACACTTTATTTGAAGGGGGTGAATAAGACTGACATGACACTGTCATAAATATGACATAACACCTGTTATAAACATCAGTAAGTCTTCATGAATATTTATGACTGTTGTCATAAAGCGTCATTCGGTAAATTATGACACTTTTAATACAAAGTTGACATTATGAATGAAGGGATACAATTTTCTTTACATATCAGTAGAAGACACTTGAAAGAACATATGTTCAAAATATGTTATTTATATTTGTTTATTAAAGTATTTTACTGACTTCCTCTTGTTCATGTTTGTGACTGTTCCAACGTTACAGGCAGGAAGTAAAGAGGTCTGGTCATGTGACCTTTCACACTAGATACATGAAATTGATATTGCTTAGAGTAAACACATTATTATTTGATTTGAAAACTTAAATTAGCTGCCAAAAGTCAAAACAATTCTTCTAGAGCTTCCAGAATTTAGAAAAAAATGTCATGTAACAATTGTTGTCAGTGGGATTCTCCTTAGATTCCAAGAAATAAATTAACCTGTTATTTACCATTTTTTCCATCATTTTACCTAAACATGATATTAGAGCTATTAGTCTATATCTTTCAGCTGAATTAGGATCTTTACCAGGTTTACAAATAGGAATAACGATCACTTCTTTTCATCCATCAGCTAATATCCCTTCCTCCCAAATCTTATTATACAATTCTAATAATATTTCTTTACTTACACCACTAAGATTATTTAACATACTATAACTGATTTGATCATTCCCAGGAGTTGATTTATTGGAATTATTCAATGCTTTATTCCTAACTTCATATTTAAAAAAAATCCTCATATTCTTCATCATTATGAAATAATTCAATATTCCTTTGTAATGTTATTCCATGTGCTCTTTTTTCTTTATTATTTATATTTTCTGTACTATGTATCTTTGCAAATACTTTAGATAATAACCCAGCTTTATTTTATTATCTGTTAAAATATTTCCATTATCTTTTATTATTTGGAAAAAATAATCTTTTACATTTCCAGACATTTTTTGATAGTATTCCAAACCCTGTCTAATGCAGTATTTCCCTCCAAAGATTCACAGTATTTTCTCTAATAATCCTTTTTAGCATATCATTTTCTTAACTTCTGCCTGTTTCCTTTTATAATTTATTACATTCCAGAAAGAAATAATTTTCTTAAGTATTTTAAAAGCTTTATTCCGCTGTTTAATTGCTGTTGAACATTCTGGTGTCCACCAAGGAACCATCTTCTTTTTTTTATTACCACTACTTCTAGGAATGAAACTTTTGGCTGTATCAATAAGAAATTGACTAATTTCTAAATTTAATTCATTTATCGGTTTACTTGTATCTACATTTTTCATGTTAACCTCACTCGTCATTTCAAAATTGTCCCAGTTTGCTTTTCCAAATTTCCATCCCCTCTCAATTTCTACCTGGTCTTCCTCAGTATCTATTCCTATGCTGGCAAAAATTGGATAATGATCACTCCCCATTGTGCTTTCTTTAAATAGTCTCCAGCTGCAAATATCAGCAATAGAATGAGAAACCAATGTCAGATCAATGGCAGATTTCTTACCTCTTACAAAGTCCACCCGAGTACCTACTCCATTAAAATGACCAATTCTTTTTCGTCAATCACCTCTTCTAAAATCCCTCCATTATGATCATCTTGATCTCCCCATAAAGTGCATTGAAATTCCCACAACAAACTGTTTTCCCTCTCCAGTGTCCTCGGATTGATTCAAGTTTTAACTTTTCTAATTGTTTGCAGGGTTATAATAATTTGTTATTTTAATATTTCCATCATTTGTCCAGATTTCTTCAGCAATAAATTCTAAATCTGATATTATTTGGAGCTGATTAAATTTCAGGTTTTCCTTTAAGAATATGGCACAGTCTCCTCTATTCCCATTTATCCTGTCTTTAAATAAAACTGAGTAACCATGAACAATAAACTGCAATGATGGCT